TATGGTATGTTTCTAATTATGGGTAATGCAGGATTTATATTTATCATCAACCCGTATGAGCGTAATGGCCTCGGTTTCCGCTGCCTGTGCCAGGAGCCCTGGAAGCCTTGTAATGTAGGGGCCTTAATAATTAGACTAGGGTTTTGGGATGTATTATTATACTATAATTCACAAGGAATCATATTGGTAAGTACTTCTATGTTAGGTTTGTTTTGTGACAACCCTAATGAATACACTTACTACACATTCAAGCCATATTATTCGACTGTAGACCCCGCACCTCTCACCCTGCCAATCCGAAGGGAGCTGCTGCTTCAGTGTCCCCGGCAATACGGTAATACCGGCAGTTTGTGGGTTTGGGGGTGTCGTGGATGTTGAATCTCCTGCAATCGTCGGTCACGCACGGACAGAAGTCAGGATTCGGGTCTTGAGACATCCGGCAGTCCGGGAGATGTCCCACTGAATCGACCGCAAGCCCACGCTCCGCGGACGACTTTGAGGCCAGTCTCTAGGGCCGTTGCCTGAGGCTTCTACAGTGGCAACACCAGGTGCGAACTCCGATGGTGCCTAAGGATCCTCTCCTATCTGGATCCCCCCTGACTTTCTGACATGGGCTCTGAAGACAGATTCAGATTGGGTTTAGGGTTTAGGTTTTAGGGTATAGGGTTTAAGGTTTAGGTTTTAGGTTTTAGGTTTCAGGGTTTAAGGGTTTAGGGTTTAGGGTTTTCACCCTTTTTTAACCCCGCCTCGCGCCCGTTGAAGCCATCATGTCTCAGGTAACGCCTGGCCAAGGTCTCTACTTGGAGGCTGGGCGGATGCAGTCACTAGGGGTTTAGGGCTTTGGGGGGCTTTGGGGCTTTAGGGCTTTAGGGTTTTGAGGGTTTTTAGGGTTTTTAGGGTTTAGGGTTTTAGGGTTTAGGGTTTTAGGGTTTGGGATCGTTGCATTCATAGATGCCCCATGACACTGCGTAGAGTTTCGTTGGGAAGGCTAAGTCCACGGATCTCAGGCGCCTCAGACCCAAATTGATGATTTTAGGGCGCAGGCTACGTGTCGTACTATCGGGGCAAGTGCATGTAGGTGAACCGGCGACATTTATATACAGACAGAAACAGCTAACGACCGAACCGAATGACTTAACAACCGAACACGTGCATGAACAAATCGGCTAACATAAACGCAGTAAAAACAAACACACACACACATATATATATATACACTTACATACAGAGCAGCCAAACGATCAAAATCCTGCAGGGCCATATAGAACACCCGAAAAGAATGAACACTCACATGGGCAATTCATTCAGACAAATCACAACTGTAAGAGTTCCACAAGGACTTGTCGGACTCCCCCGCCCACCCTCACCCCTTTCAATCTCCGGCCCCCAAGTAATCCCTAAACCCCAAAGTAATGGGATCGAAGCTAAGGCCAGGCCAGGCCCACGCGGCGTCCTTCCGCTGGAAGCGGCGGCTGAACTCGCAGAGGGAGCCGGCCTGGCCACCAAGAAAGGGTTTAGGGTTCATTTGGGGCTTGGGGGCTTAGAGGATTTAGGGTTCAGAAAGGCTCCGGAGTCTATTAAGAGGGTTCAAGGCCGCGGTGCTTCAAGGCTCCAGGTGTTAAGACGACTCGGCCGCAGCTCGGGCCATCTTGGATCAAGGTCAGGGTTTCAGGGTTCGGGTTGTTAGATGTTCAGGGTGTCGGAGTTCTTGGGGCACCCGGCTTTGAATGCAGACGTTGAGGTGCAGGTATGACGAGTGGACCTGTAAGTGCTTTCCGAACATCAGGACTCCAAGCAAAGCCCGTCGTGCACTCGACGTTCATTGTTTACGAAACCCTCAGCGGCAACTCACTTCCACACTGCACAATAACATCTATTAGTATTACAAAGACCAAGCCCTGAGTCCCGAGCACACTGCCCAATCCCCCCTCTAGCGAGTGACTCAGGATGGTTTTGTGATGAAGTCATATAGCGCCCTGTCTTCCAGTCTGTCGGTCTCTGTAGACCCCTACCCTCTTGCGATATTTACGTCTATATCCATACCTATATCTATATCTGTATATGCACACATGATCTCTGACTCTGTTTATGTGCTGTAGTTGTGCAGACATTTTATGTAAATCTAGCTCGCCCTCGGTCCCGAATACAGAGACCTCGCCAAGCAGAAGAAGGCTTCCCGGATTAGATTACTTACGGTTGCTTTGGGGAGTGGGTTTAGGGTATGGGGCTTAGGGCTAGCCCAACCTTGCATGCCCTGAACTGCTTGCTTCATATCGTATCTCAAAAGCCGAAGCCTATTTCTCATGATAAAAGGCCCCTGAAATAATGTAGGGGCCCGAATAATGACCAGTACCATTTTTGGGGGCTCCTTATTACAATTAATTACAGTACAATGGGCCCCACAACCATATTCAACCTATTCTAAT